GTCAAGACGCTTAGTTTGTCATGAGAGAGAGTGCGAGACATAAAGCCATTTGTTCTGATACTCAAATCTTAAAGCTGCAATTGGATATGATCCATCTAATAATTTACTAAAAATCAGCACAAAGTGCACACGTAAATTTAACAGATCTACATTGATATACGGACCTTAAATTTTATTTTATTAAAGTTTCTTAAAAAGCCGATAAAATAAAATTCTCACATAACGCTCTTAAAAATCGGATGCATTCCAAATCTGCTAGAGGTTTGAATGCGAATACAGAGTTACAGACGACCGTTTTTAGAATCAATGAAACCGCATACCTCTTCCAGCTTGGGGATAATATCAGCAATGCAGTCGCAAACATTTTTCAATTCCGATGAAACATAGATTATTCTAAAGCAGTAAGTTCAATACACATGATTAGCGAAGAACTTTGAACATATCAAGCACATGTGAGAGACAGAGAAGTTGACTAGCTTAACAAATAACGCGACCGCAGATATACGCGATAGGCTACATGCAAAATATAAGTATTTTAGTTTTCTGAGATGAACGTTCAGGGAATGGAATAAATACCACAGTCACAGGGCATGAGCTAGTTAAGTGATCCAGCATTTCAAATTAGCGACTCATGCAAACTGCTTTTAAGTTGTACCTAATTTATGAATTCAGTTTGCAGGTCAAGCATGGAGCACTTATAACATGACTGTATGAAATTTTATGAACAATATAAAATAGGTTATGTAAGACAGCAATATAATTCTTTTTGGGCAATTGTGGTATATAACGTAAAACCTGTGGGTGACACATTCTGCTAAGAGACATACATGGCACACTTGTATCCCACAAGAAATTATTTTTGAATTTATTTTCGATCGTTAATTCTGTTAAAGCAACACAATGAAACGTATATTGCTTTAAAGAATCACGAGACCAGTTTAGGCTAGGTAAATAATTCCTATTCAATACACCAAGTACACACGCGGGTAATGGAAATCCTCAAATTTAAGAATGGGTACTCTGAATAAGCGTTTTCTGATAAACGCATTATAGCGGTTTCATAATTAAAGCTCATATTCCGCACGAGATGCAATACTTTGGTTGCGCGCTAGTATTCATACTAATACAGGACTAAAATGGCTTAGCTACATATGGGCAAAAGGACTCCGTTGCTGACGACTTTTACACCAACCAAAAACCACAAGCTGTTGATAACCATGAGACACGGGATTAAACGTTCGTAGTCTTTATCAAGCACACCGACTGTTAGAGCCGAGCAAAGTTACACTGTTTACTGTCCTTCAATTTTAAATCTATTTGCAAATGCATCCAATCAAAACACTAACAATAGGAAAACTGCATAAGAGACCTGTGCTTATAAGTGAATAGCTTATTTGTCAATTAACCTTTGAAGAGGTCATGACAGAAGCACACTATCTACAGCGTTTTAATCTAATTTCTCATCACTAAAATACTGCTGATTCGAGAGAAAAAATTACGTACAGTAAATATCCAAATGAGAAGACAATACCGATAATGCACCTAACAGAAATATGCTGGCCAATTCTTTTATTCACATTAAAGCGTCAAATAAAAAATGTAAAAAAGGCGCGGGAAAAGCGCCACAGCATACCGTTCGGGCGTGTTACTGTCGGGTATGTTAACACTTGCATCGTACTGGAGCGGGCATAAGTTGCATACGGACGGGCGGACAAAGTGGACAGGGCATCCAGGACAGGGTGGTCGGTACAGGTCACAGGTCAGTTCGGTTCCGGTATTGTATCGATTCGACAGACGGACGGATAAGGACGTGAATAGGTGTACGGACGTAGGTGGCCAATGAGGGCCAAGGAATATGAAAAACAGGCTTTCATTTAGAACAAGCACATGAATGACGTCATCAATTGTTAATGCAATTGAAGGGAATAAAACAAAAAATTAAATTCAAAAACTATACCTCTGTTCGCAGCCGTTTAATGTTATCCCCGCCCTTACCGATTACTGCTCCGGCAGCCTAAAACAAACAATATTACAAACTTGGCAGATGTTAATCATTATGCTACCACTAGGCAATGTCGATAACTAAAAGTCATCTTAACCTTATCGAGTTCAATTCAGACCATTTGCCACCATCAACTAGAGAAACTCGTTTCATACAAATAAACGATATAATCCAATTGAGATTGCCCAATAACAGGTTACGGTAATGATCGTACCACGATTCTTAACAGAGAATATACAGCTACTTTTACAAAGATACTGAATCTACATGCGTCTCCTTCATTCAAGCACAATTACAAAAAACGACATACTCGACTGGGTATTAAAACGCGCAATTCGAAGCCATCTGGATCCGAACGCTGTCGTTTGTTTCCATAATAACGATCGTCCATAAAACGCTTCATTCTATAAAAAACATTTGGCTTACCACATTTTACGAAAACCAGTGTAACTGTTACTTTCTCAGATGCTACATCAATAAACACACGGTCGAATGAAGCGGAATGACAGCTCAAAACGGGAGGACTACAGCGTGTGCCACTGTCATGCTTATATCCTTCAATATATTTTGCTTCCATTTGCACCGTGATTTAGCAAAGTACA